CGTAGGAACAACGATCCCTGGAGGAGTGTCGAGGATAGAAATCCTCGGACGCTGATTGATTATCGTACGAGGGGGAGATAGAGAGGCGATGAATTATGGCGACGTAGGGACGATGAGATAGACCGAGACCGCAGAGATCGAGAGCTGTTTGTGCGAGCAAGGAGGCTAGATGATTACCCCCGAAGCCCTCGCTATGAGACCGATCGGGGTAGAGGCGACTCCCGCGGCCGATGGGAGAGGGACGACAGATACGAGAGATTGGACCAGGATGGATATAGGGACGACAGATACGAGAGGTCGGGTCGAGATGGCTACAGAGGGAGTAGATATGAGAGAGGAGATCAGGACTGGGAACGACAAGATGGGACACGCGGACGGTTTGAGCGCGGGGGAGATGCGAGAGAGCAGCGCGACGAGACGCAAGGATGGTACAACCGAGGGGACCGACGCGATGAGTCACGAGGACGCTATGACTCGGGGGACCGCCGGAATGACTCGCGAGGGCAGTATGAGCGAGGAGGGTCTGGAGGAGACCGGCGCAACGATTCGCGCAGTCGGAATGAGAGAGGGGGATATGGTGTCTCATCAGAACCATATCCAAAGTCGCCTGACCCCAACGCGGCCAGGAATTTGATGTCTAGAGGCGCAGACGACAGGGCGTCTACTCCCAGGAACTTATGCGTCTACTGTAGAGGAGAAGATCATATCAAGAGGGATTGCCCGGACCTCAAACGGGCAATAGATGAGGGGCTTGTCGTGCTTGACGACCGCAAGTACGTCAAGTGGGCAGATGATCTGGGAGATGTATCAATGTTTCCTTTGATGAAGGAGAACGTCGAAGCAAGGAGAATAAAGACGAGTAAAGGAATGGAGCCGGTCAGGAGCCAGAGCATCAAGATAATCTTTGAGGGGGATATCGCGACCACACCCATAAGGGTGGCAGCCACCAAGTCAGCAAGAGGGTCTACATCGAAGAAGACTGACACGGATTATGTGATGACGGAGAAGGACGGGCAGCGGATCGATGGAGAGGAGGTTATCCTTTCTCCACGAAAGAGGGGAGTGAAGAAGTTCTTAACGAAGAGTTCGTTGGACGAGATTGACACGGTTGAGCCACTGAGGCGGGCTCTTCGACAACCAATGCAGTGCTCTATTCTGGAGTACCTGGCGGCATCGAAGCCGGCCCGTGATGAATTACAGATGATCACGCGGAAGACTCGCATACCTCTATCAGAGGAGGGTCAGGGAGCCCCTAAAGCGGAGGCTTCTACAGTAGCGGTAACGGGGGTGACAGCAAGAGCGGATCGCATGGCGACAACCCTTCTCGATGGGATGGTAGGCGTGTCTCCAGACAAGTTTTATATACTTGGTAGCGGGGCTGTAGAGACGATTATAAACGATGGAGCGATACTTGATGCTGTGATTGACAACGGCAGTGAGGCTGTCATCATAGACGAGGACCTGGCGGTACAAGTTGGACTGGGCCTCGATAGGTCATACCTATTCGAGATAGAGACGGCTGATTGGAGAAAGCAACAGATCACTGGGGTTTGTCACAAGGCAGCCATAGAGGTCCAAGGGGTACGAGTGACCCTGCCTGTCTTTGCAGTCAAGAACTGCAGCTCCGACCTGCTCTTGGGTCGAACGTGGCTGAGCCACGTGCATGCGGTGACGATAGAGCGACCTGATGGGAGTCAAACCTTGTCCATTAAGAAGTCAGACGGACGCGGGTAATGATTGAGACAGTGGAGTCTCGGGACCCGAGGAACAGAGCAGCTCTCGCTGTGGGTGCAAGACCCAGTGATCAGATTAAGTCTATACCCATCTCTGGCCGCGCGGTGCGATTTCGCGAGAAGAGATATGGACCACTGCTCACAGAGGAAGAAGGTAGGATGGTGGAGGTAGAAGACTTAGGGAGTCGGCTAATAGTGGACGGCAACTCGTACCCGAAGGAAAAAGATGAGGAATTTGGCGGTGTGGTATCCGTGTCTTTTTTAAGGGCACGGCCCCCTAT